AAGTACTAACGACCATTTAATGGGCTGATAACATTCAAAGCCACTGGCATGGAACTAGATAAACTAACAATATTATCACTTGGAGTCTCAACAAATTACCTGTAAAATTCAGTTAGATTTAACTAAAATAACTTAAATATACTGTCCCAATGCTTGTAGTGTAGATTCTGTGATTTGTTATTGTAAATATACTGTAAAGCTGTAAACCAACACAAGAATATTATGTTTTCTTTAATAACCCTTTCTTCACTTACATTCTCTTTTGATAAGAAAAAAAAACCAGAACATGATGAGATTTCAAATGATGAACAGTAAATAAAAAGAACACAGGAGAAGCGGAAAGTATCAGGAGAGTAGAAGGCTTGCCACTAATTGTTACATAATAGAGTTGGTTCCCTGAATACTGTAGGTGAATTTCCCTCTAACTGTCTTATGTATCAAGCAGGGAGAAACGACATGAACATAATAAAGGGAATCTGAAAATTAAATCCTCCCAACTTGCCCTGTTAATTCATCTCAATGCTGTTACATCTCTCTCAAATCTTTGCTTCTCTGATTTTCTCAAAGTAACTTCTAATGCAAATCATCGCACAAAATACATACAGTAACTCAGTGTCATTTACACATTAAATCCCAAACACTCTGCTTTAAGTGAATCTTGATTTGAGTATAAAAATACTTCTCTCACAAATCTGTAGACACTATCTCACTAAAAGTAGAAAAAGAGATACAGTTCAAATAAAAAAAAAATGCTTCTTTCAAAGTATCTGAACCTAATAATGCAGGACAGATAGATTTTATGTAGAGGAATACATTACAGAAAATAAATTAGGCAGCAAGAAAGAAGCATGCCAGTGCAAATGGCTCGAGATCTTCTTTCCATCCTTATGAGATAACTGTACCCATTAGAAGGTTAAAGCTATTCTGGTGTCCTAGCCGTACTCGGCCGTTTCCAAAGACTCTGCCTCGGAAATTATGGCAATCTGTCTTTAAACTTTGATGCAGTCAGAAAGCTCCCTTTATCCATTCTCATCATTTTCCCTCTGACCTGTGTGTGTGTATGTGTGTGTAGTTGCATACACACATAAAAAAGAGGAAAGAAATGGTAACAGCAAGAGAGGGAGCAGATGGAAAGAGATATGAGCGGGTGGGGCTAAGCTGTCTGCGACCAAGGCCCAGAGAACATAAAAAGAAAAATTTGGTCATAAAACCTCTCTATGACTATGAATACTAATACTGACTCTGTGAACCAAACCAAGCGAGGCTGTCCTCTCTGTTCCCCTTTGTCTTACTGAGAGAAATGATGTAGCTTAAAAAGAAAGTGAAAACAGCTAGCCACACTGGCTGCATTGCACATTGCTGCGATGTAAATCTTGCATTATGTTATACACAAAACAGCAGTGCACTGATTGAGAAGGAAGATTGATAATCGACAACAGAGAGATGCATAAACCCTTCATTTGCTGATTTTTCTAGCATGAACTCATTGTGTATTTTACTGCAAAAACCCATGGCAGTAAACAAACCAAATTTTCTTTATTCTGACAAACACTAAAACTACACATCTATATCTTGTTTATTTGCTACAAATAAAATCCCAAAGACTTGTTAACTTTCATTTTACAGCATGATTTCAAATGACAGTTTTTTTTCCCATTTAGAAATAAAACACAAGTTGCTTCAATATGGCAAAATAAATTGTAAAAATGTGATTTTATTCATTATTAGCCTAATCTAAGACAACATTTAAAACCATTTATTGCATAAAAAGAGTGAAGCATACTGTATCCATAATATATTTTTGTATAAATGTTTATGATTTTTCTTTTTGAAATTGGCACTTTATTGTAAAAAAAACATATCAAACATATCAAGGAGTTCAAGTATCTCTGGGTCTTGTTCACGAATGAGGGAAAAATGGAGCGTGAGCTCGATAGGCAGATAGGTGCAGCGTCAGCAGGAAGCGGGCATCTGTCATGCTGAAGAGAGAGCTGAGTCAAAAGGTGAAGCTCTCAATTTACCGGTCGATCTACGTTCCTACCCTCATCTATGGTCGTGAGCTTTGGGTTGTGACCGAAAGAACGAGATCACGGATTCAGGCGGCCGAAATGAGTTTTCTCCGCAGGGTGTCTGGGCTCTCCCTTAGAGACAGGGTGAGAAGCTTGTCATCCGGGAGGGACTCAGAGTAGAGCCGCTGCTTCTCCACGTCGAGAGGAGCCAGTTGAGGTGGCTCGGGCATCTGGTTAGGATGCCTCCTGGACGCCTCCATGGTGAGGTGTTCCTGGCACGTCCCACCGGGAGGAGACCCAGAGGAAGACCCAGGACACACTGGAGGGATTATGTTTCTCGGCTGGCCTGGGAACACCTTGGGATTCCCCCGGAGGAGCTGGCCCAAGTGGCTGGGGAGAGGGAAGTCTGGGCCTCCCTACATAAGCTGCTACCCCCGCGGCCCGACCCCAGATAAGCGGAAGACAATGGATGGATATATATATATATATATATATATATATATATATATATATATATATATATATATATATATATCTACTATCTAATGTATATAAAAATGTAAAAATGCCACTAAGCTGGGTGTGCTATGGTTGTACCAACCAAAGAGAAAAAGGAAAACGTCTCATTTCACAAGTAAGCAGATTTAATCTTATTTACTTCAATGTGAATGTGATCTGAACATAGTTGCAGTTAATAATTTAACTGTTTAAAATTAGCCTATAAAGCTGATGTAATCACTGTTAATTATTGAACTGCCTAGTAAGATATTTGTTTCTGTGGCATATATTGTGGGATTTCTAGGTTTGCCTATCATAATCACTTTCCCTACAGCTGACATTGACCCAGTCAAGCCACCATTCCACACCTGATCCTGTCAACTACCCTTCACATGTACTTAAGGACTTGGCAGTGATTCGTCCAATGTTGGAACATTAAGGTACCTTATGGTGAATTAATCGACAGCCTGTAAACATATCTCTACCTAAGAAAACTAACCTTGTAAATTTGTTCCTTGTGTTTTCAAGCCTTGCTCTTCTGTGACCTGCCAAGTTCTCTCTGCCTCCTGTGATCTAACCAGTCAACATCTCTTTTCCTGCAAATCAAATATAAGCCTGGATCAACTTCATACGCTCTCTCCAACGCTACTTTCCTCAAACAAGCTACCACTCCTAGGAACCACTGGATCTCTTATCTCACCACCTGCAAAACACACAAATTACACTAAGTCTTCCACAACTAAGAAAGATTAAAAATCATTGATCCTCAAATCCTGCCAATACTCACCTCTATATTGTTTCCTTTTCAGCAACAATTCTCTTCTTCACTTGTAAATATAAACATTTACCTTTTCTACATTTGAGTCTTTTCAACAGTCTGTGGGTCCTTACTACCAAACATCATGTTATATATTGTTATAGAGTAGAGAGCACTATGCTGTATCATGATACAATTTAGCACACATATTTACACAGTGTAAAATATTATTATATATTAGACTATTTTTAGGTTTCTATTACACAAACCTGACCGACGGAGAAAATGGTTAGCCAATACCAGTACGCATGTTTCATTCTTCAAAGTATCACCGGGTATGGAGTAAACATTTCCTAATATAGACTATGTAACAGGTAAATAATAATAAATATATGTTATTCCAATACTGTTACGCAATTCCCTCTATATGTCATTTCTGTGTTGTGTACTAACTCAGTTTTTCTTAGTAAAATGTTAAAATACACCACAATATATGAAATTATGGGGTTTTTATTATTCCATACTTAAATACAATTATATTACACTACACACACACACACACACACACACACACATTACATGCTCTCTTTGCAAGAATTCTGAAAATGTATTCTTTAAGTCTAGGTATGCACTAGACACTGATCATTGCAATCTGCTGCAACTAGTAGAACTTATACACAATTTCCATGTTAAAAAGTTAATTTGCAAATTCATTAAATAGTTAAATTCATAAAGTCTAAATTAGATCAAATGTCTGTTATTGACTGACTTCGGATATAGTTTAAATCATTACTTATAAGTGTTATATTTTTCTTAAACATCATCTAGTTGTTTACATGACTGTTGAATGAAATTAACATTAATCATCAATTCTATTAATTTATTGTACAGAGATTACAAATAATTTGACACAGATCCAGTTGGGCTTGCTGTTATTCAAATAGTTACTTTGTCAACTGTAAGCTTTTGCACACCTTGTATGACATCTTTGCTCCCCCGTGATGTCACAGATGCAAGCAGTAGGCGGGCTAGGGAGAGCGCTCTCTAGTTGTCTTATTTAACTCTGACCACTACCCTTTTTTTAAACTGTGCCATTGGCCACTTCATAGCATGGGTTCAAATTTTCTTAGCAAATTATGGATTTTATGGTCAAGTACTCCTTACAAGTACCTGTACTTTCATGGTATCTCCCATGAAGCTTTCCCTGACAATCGTTGGAGGACAGAAGAAAAAGTCATAATCTCTCAAGCATTTCTAATGAGTTTTTCTCCTACAATTATTTGATAAGAACAGACAAGACTGGAGGCTGCATGTATGATACACTAGCTCCTACTGCTGAGGTGAGAGCCATGCTGATTACCCCCCCCCCCCCCCCACACACACACACACACGGCGCTATACAGTCTGTCATCTCACAGTGTAATAATTCTAATATTACCATGAGAGGCTGAAGTTATGACCAGCAGGCACATCTAAGTTACCAATCTGGGTCTTTTTAATCTGAATCCACACCCACAATACACCTTTCCATCTTTAATCATCACCACACACATAATCATACATACATACATACATACATACATACATACATACATACATACAT